TAATTCAATGTTTAATTGTAATCCATAATAAATTACCCGTTTAAACAATGCGTTAACGAAAACTACATGGAATATCATCCTTTTATCCTTGGTTGCTATGAGACTCGTTGTTGCTAGGGTGCTCTCCTTGAGGTCCGCGCTATTGGTATATAAAGACACCGATACATTGTGCGAGTTCGTTCATTTGTTATTTGGCTGTTGATGAATAAGCATCGGAAAGAGAATACCAGCAAATAAAGAAAGTCTAACTGAGAAGTTTGTAAACCAAGTTCGAGTTGAAAGCTTGTGGTTTGAAGCAAGCGGTTTAGAAGTCTTTGCGATTGTTGCAAGCTACCGGGTTGTTCTGAAACTGTAATTTCCCACGGGAATGGTCGCAGTCCCTCGAACAGGTAGTTTGTAATAGTCTGGTGACTTCGGTGCTTCGGAGACTAGGTGTTTCAAAACTAGTTGTCTCAGGAACTAGGTGTCTCAGAGACTAGGTGTCTCAGAACAAGGTGTCTCAGAACAAGGTGACTCAGGAACCTATGGTTTTGAATCTTTTCCTCTTATAGTTTTTGAAAGGTTATAATTGTTGAGCAAATCGGTTGGGACCTCGGAGTCAGTGAAAGGATTAAGGATAAATTGAGGTTATAGTTTTTAGACTACTTTTTGATACAAAGTTAATTGTGTAAATATTGTTGTTTCTTTATTAAGTTTCAAATCATTTAAAGGTTGGTCTCGTAGTTTTTAGTAAAGCCTCCAAGTTGTAGTTAGATTTTGAGTTAATTAAAAGATTGATATTGGAGTATCTCAGATTCTGTGAAAACGGATATGAACAGATAGTTTATAAGCCAAACACGTTACAATAGTTCTTTATTTGATAGTTTTGAACAAAAATGTAAGGGTTTTGTTGACTCGCTATCTTTGCTGAAAACTGTGCTACCAGAGAAGAAACAAACACCAAATATAGTTGACCTATTGCTTATAGTATTAGAAAAACAGACCAAAACACAAAAACTTAACATTGACCAATGTCGCTTCCCACTGAGAAAGTTGCACCACACTCATTCTCAGTGGAATATGTTTCACAGTCTGTCCGACAATTAAATTCGTTGAATAAGAGACTGGCTTCGTTCACTTTACCGGCGTCAGTTTTATCCAAAGGGATGGTGCGAAAAATGGCGAAATCTGGACTGGAACAGCATCACCTAATATTGGCATATGAACGTGAGGGGTCTGATGGTGTTGCCAATCTATCGGAACTTTTTTTTGGAAAACCCAGAGTCACAAAAGACAGAAAAATTATAGCTTCAATTACATCTTTTATTGAGTCAAGACATTAGGATGATTTCTATTTTTATGTTATTACTATTTTTGCGTTCATGTAATTACAAAGTATTTTCGTCTGATATAGTACTTTTTTCAAACATGTATATTGATAATGAACATATATTTTTTACATCTCATAATTTCATTTAAAATACGTGTCCATAAAAGAGGGTCTGATTGGGGCATACGGAATACAGAATAAAGGGCAAAAATTGCAGAATAAAAGGCAAAAAAAAAAAAAAGAATAAAGAATAATGGGGTGCGAAAATATAAATTAATAAATGAAGGACCTTCTATCTAGACCCTTATGATAAAAAAAAACCTATCAATACAAAACACTTTATTATCATGCATAATCAAAACCAAGACGTTGGAAATTCATACTGCATGATAACTTTACGTTATGTAATAAAAATGACGACGTCACGATTTTTGATGTTTTTTGGCCATAATGTTGAGCTTGCGTCGCTTCTACAGGGAAAACGAAGTCGGTGACCATATTTTTTTTTTACATCATCCAATTGGTTGGACAAAGAGGAGGAAAATATTAATTTTTAAAAAAAATCTATGGAGTGATTCACGTGATTTATACAGGAAACCGAAAATTGTAGAAGAAAAATAAGGATTTTCCCTATATATTCAATGTAATTTAGTACCCTCTCGGACCATTTTAAAAATAGCTTTTTCTCGAAAACGAAGTCGGTGACATATACTTTTTTTTTACATTTGCTGATGTATATTTTCAATATCTAATTGAGTTCTAAATTAAAAAAAAAATCTATGGACTGGTCATTTACTGATCCTTGACCTTAAAAGCTCTTTTATGTGAAGGTCGGTAAATGGATTCAACGCGCACCTGTGTTGACAGTGAATAATCTCAGTTTATCGACAAAAAATATGTCTCTGGTTTATTTATACAGTTCTTTAAAGTTGGACAAGCAGGTTATATAAGAATGGAAAGGTTTCAGGTAAGTATGTTGAGTATCTTTTTTGTTATATGAACATTTCAATAATAAAAAATCCGCGAAATGTGCTTCATGAAAGATTTCCGAGCAGACGACATCATTTCAAGACATTTGAAGATGGATTCTGTTGCTAGTTCAGGGAAGGCCTGCCGGTGGTCGAAAGAAGAGACCTCAATCCTTATAAGTCTAGTAACAGAAAACATTGCCATAATTAAGGGGAAATTTTCACCGTCTCTTACTATCGTAATGCTGACAAAAATAAATGTTGGGATTCAATAACAGAAAGGTAAACAAAATCAAGTATCTTTCTTCATGTCAATCTTTTCATCCCAAGATAACCTTTTAAGAGATAAAATAAAGGGTATAGAATAGTTGTTCCAACAGATATTATAATTATCATGATTATGGCTTTGTGTATTATTACATTTTCCAAGAGAACTTCTTTACTAGTTGGAACAATTATATGTGGGCATCACATCTACATAATATTTCTTAACTTCAATATGTTGATATTAAAATATTGAAATTGAGCATACAGCTTTACTCTATCATATGTGTACATTTTTACTTGTATGTAAAAGTTCCTGTACTGGTATATTTTTGAAATGGTTTCAATTAATGAATTATATTTTATTTTGTCGATACATGTATGACCTTTGAACATCATAATATATCGTTGATGATTGTAAGTTCGTTATGCTTGTACATGTAAGTTCGTGACATTTCGTGATTTCCACTTTATTCGTGACGTCATGCATACGTAATTATCATTGGCAACCTACTACTTCAAATAAACTTAACCGGATATTTTTCATTTCATGTTCACTAATATTGGCTTTAAAAAAGAGAATTTGTGTATGTTTTTGCATATTATTTGTTTAAACATCTATTTCAACTATTACTGATTTTTTCCTCTCCTAGAATTTCATTTAATTCTTGGGAAAATCCTTCCAGCAATGTTATTGACATCTCAACAATGAGTCGTCATCTAATTTTAGGTTATTTGGCACTCATTTTTCCTTTTTGAAGGCCAAGAGTATTATTTTTTAAATTCTGTATGTGAGCGGATTTTTTAAGATCGGAAATGATTTGATGTATTTCGATTAAACAAAACATATCGATTACTGGCTCGTAAAAGTGATTTAATCCTGTGCCACTGAATGCAAATTGAACGAAAAAGTACTTTGATGCATAAATGACATTGTGACATTGTTACAGTTAGCTTAAACGTGTTTAAAGAGCTTAATTCTGGACTTTCCAATTGGCCATTGAAAGTCATGTGTAAAAATTAGAATAATTGTAGGGAGAATAAAGAAGTTAGTATGTCCCAAATTCTCTTTTTATCGAGATATTCATTTGTTATTTGATCTCAAATTTATTCTGTAATGTTCAAATACATAATACAATATGCCTGACCTATATATTGTTGCACATTCTCAAAATCCACCGTCCAAGACACGAACTTACAAGCATCAGGTTTACTTATTTTACGGAATCGGGTCACAATACGAAACAAATACAGATTGACCATAATAATTACTTTATTTAATGAGACTCATTTCATGTAGCACATTCATTGATCTAGTATGCGGCCAACTTTAATAAAATGCTTCGCTGAGCGCAGAGGTCCAACCCTGAACAGTTGTGGCAAAAATGGACACAATATTCGCGCTTGATACCAGTCTGAATTTGGATTGTAATTAAATATTTGACACATAATAGGTTTCTGACACCGAATAACTGTAGTCAAAGAACTAAGAATTGGTTATATGATTTGAATTTATATTCAATTTTTTGCTTTTGTGCAATATACTATGCTGTTGCGAAATTGACCCCCCCCCCCCCCCCCCCCCCAAAAAAAAAAAAATGTATCCCCCTTTTTTTTTTTGCTTTTGTGAAATACACTATGCTGTTGTGTATTGATCCCCCCCAAATAAAAATTTTTACACCCCCCCCCCCCCCCTCTCTTTGCAAAAAGAAATAATATTTGAAGAAATTTTCTTTTTAATTTCTGAAATCTGAAATGAAAAAAAAAATGGCCCTACAATTTCTTTTTTACCCCCTCCCCCCCTAAATTTTGTTTTCACCTCCTCCCCCCCCCCCCCCCCCTTTTCCAAAAAAATTCTTTCCCTCAAGATATGGTCATAATCTGAATTCAAATTTCCAATGGAGTTTGCAACCATATTTACCAATTTAAATACCAGACTAAATACATCATAAAATTCTTAAAATAGAAAAAAAATCCCCCCCTTATTTTTTGAACCCCCTTATGATTCATCACACCCAAACTCAATCCCAGCCTTCCGTTGGTGGTATGGTACCTTGCAGTACAATTTCAGAGAGATCCATACACTTGAACACAAGTTATTGGCTGGAAACTAGAAAAACGCTTGTTTTTTGGCCCCTTTTTGGTCCCAAATTCCTACACGTTTAGGGCAATTACCCCCAAACTCAAACCCATACCAATATTTTTTGCGGTCGTATAAAAAGTAAAAACATAAATACATTTTTTTTTGTTACTCTCATCATGTTGATATAAATAAGGCAGTACAATTATTCATAAAATTAACTAAATAAACATGTTTCTAAATAACAAGAATAATTTTAATTGAATATCAAACATAATAGAGCAGAAAAAAAAACTAACTGAAAATTTAGTACAATAAAACTAATAATCTAATTTGTTTCAAATTGTCAGTACAAGTACATGTATTACACATTGCACACTAAATATAAACTTTTTCAAAATTTATTTAAATTAGTCAAAATTTGGGAGAAAGAAATTAGAATAATTTCAGAGTCTAAATTTAGAAAAAAAATCAAGTTTTTATAAGGCCATTGTTAGCAGGTTGAAGTTCATCTTGCTCAAATTTTTTTTATTATATAAATATTAAACCAGAAGATGTGGTATGACAACTCACCAGAGACTAAATGACATCAAATGTCTACATTATTACTTTTTGATAGATATATTTACTAAAAACCATTCTGCTTACTTCTGATATGAAAGCTTCTAAACTGTCCAATTTATTCTTCCAACACTTTCTATAATGCAAAATAATGAGGTGTATCTGACATTTGTTCTCTGTATAACTGTTTATTAAAATTTAAATTGAAAAGAAGTATTAGGTATTATCAGAAGTACATGTATATGTTTTTAAAAATTACACATCTTTTCCAGTGTAAATGCCTACAACATAGAAACTAGAAATGTGACCCAAGTGAAAAAAAAATGGTTACACATGCAAAGTGATTCCAGAAAAAAAGAGGCAAAAAGGAGAAGAGAAAGTCCAAAGACTGGAGGTGGTCCAGCCCCTCCAGAGATTGATTCAAATGATTTAAAGGTGATTATTCAATTTTTCCTTAGTTTTAAGTCTCATGTTTTTTCATGGTGCAAATTCCATAAACCAGTATACCTTTACTGCATCATATGATAATTAATTAAGTTTTGGAAACACATTATCACCATTATCAATGTCACAAAGAGGCTTTATACAGTCAGTGACTATATATCAGAAATATTTAAACTGCATTTTAACTGACAAATACCAGTTTCATGTATCAAAGACAAAATATATATTTCAATCCATAAATACAAGAAGGTAAGATTTTTTGATTGATTATAAGGGTCACATGTTAAAGCTTAATAAAATATTTTTGTACACAATTTATCCATTAAAAATTTGTGTTCCATTTTTTAAATAGTCAATATCGTGCCGAAATGTTAAATTGTTATTGTATGAGAAAATGTTCCTCTTTTAAAAAAAATTACTATGACACAATAGAGAGAAAATGTCCACAATTCCCGCATAAAATAAATAAATTAATACAACAGTGAATAGTTGAATATGGGAATCTGCAGCAATTTTTCATCCCGTTTCTTTTTTCAAATTAAAATTGTTTGTTCATCTTGCACAATAAACATGTGGGGCAAAGTAATGGTGTCTTATGGATCACAAGTCTGCTGCCAATAATAATGCATGTATGTTAAAATTATTGTTTTTCTTTTCTTTTTGGCATGGAAAGCTCATTTTATATCCTTATTTTCACTTCTTCAGATTTTAAGTGTTACATCAGATGCCTCAATTTGTGGACTTGATGCAGGCTACGATTCTTTAGGTATGATAAATATCTGTGGAATGACTGTAACATTTTTTCTGTCTATGAAGAAATAATATAAAAAATGTGGGCACACTGTATAACCCATAACAGACATTCCTTATATTTTAATTCTAAATTCAATTTTAAGCCATTTATGGGGGTAGGAATGCCCTTTACCGTCAGGGGTCAAACTGTCATTTTGGGCTACCTTAAGCGTGAAATCATGATATGAATATGTATATTTACCTCATACAAATTTAAATAATTTTTTTTATTTCTGTTTTATTTTTTTTTATTAGCATATACCGGGTAGATCTATAAATAACTCAAGCCCTAAAATTTGTCCAGAAATATCATTATTCCACTCACAAGTTCCATAATTATTTGGTGACTTTTACAGTCACACATACTTAACATGTTTAAGTTAAATTAATAATGCTAATCACTTTGACACAACTACAGGGGTCGACTTCAGCACTGGCCCGCTGGCCCAAGGCCAGTAGAATTTCGATAGGGTCAGTTGAACATAAAGACTACTACTGGCCCCATTGGCCATTACATTTGACTATATTTTCACTTAGAAAGTATTATTAGGGCAAATTTTATTTGAGTTGGGCCACTAAATTTACGCTCTCACTGGCCCTATTGGCCATACTTTTTAATTTTGTTAAGTCAACCTCTGAACTATATGCAAATTTTACATTTTTCAGCAAAGCCAAAGAAAGCAATAGTCCAGCAAGGATCACAAATTGTTCCAAGTTAGTATAACCACATCTCTTTACTTTCACATAGTAATATTAAGTTCATTCTGAATCTGCCTGGCAATGGTAATATCAAGTGTTATAAATGTTTATTGTTTGGAATATGCCACAAAGTTCTGTTTATACAACATTAGGATATATAATACTTAATATAAAAAAAAAAAATTTTCAGTAAAGCAGAAAAATTAAAAGCAATAATTTCAAAATATTTTCTATCTTAAATTTTTTATGACTATGAAGAAGAGTTTGTTCAAATTTATTGATGTAAATGCAGGAAACTAAATTTAATCAGTACATTAAAATATTTTTATATCCTGCATTTGTGTTTCAGAAAATCCAGGAACAGCTGCTGAAGCATGGGGATCAAGCGCAGATTTGCCTTTAAGAGGTTTGTGACTATTAATTTAGAAACCATAAACTGTAAGATTTTAATAAGCACCAATGCTAAATTACAGGACTTCTGCAAAAGGTATGTCCTTTGTGAATGTGTTTAAATTACATGTCAAGATACTATGTGTCTTTTTATCCTACAAATTATGTATTAGACCGTTTGCCTTTCTAAGTACAAAAAACATTCTAAAGCAAAGTAATTATATTCATATATTACGGGATTACACATGTGTCGAGTTTTGTGATTGGATAACAACACAGACATGTCAGTATATATTTATGAAACTGCCAGGGTATATACGAAGTTTTCATCCCCAATTGGACCCTCAAAAATGTTACCATAACACCTGTTACTATGTGACGTAGCCAAAAGCTATACAGAACACTAAAGAATGTCAGAGTCTCACAGAGGGAAAACTGATGTGCATCCACTTCAAATACTTAAATTTAATGTTTTAAAGTATTATTATAAATTATTACATACATGATAAAATTATTTTCACAGCAAATTACATAATACTTCACATATGCTGAACATATAAGGTTGGGTTTTCTATATATGTGTTATAAAAAACAAAGCCACACACACATACAAACACAAAACATTAAATCTAAAAACTTTATTGACGGAAAAAAATGGCAGGATATAAAAGGCGCATTTAAATGGATTACTCAAAATGTTAAGAAAACATTAACATGTAATGAGTATATATGCTGCATAACATATAATATTACACCTTCTTTAATTTGGGTCAGTTATGCTTATACACATGTACCTTTGTGAAATTGAATTTTGATTTGTATAGATTTTTACAAATATAGAATACCACTATGAAAAATTAAAAAAATTAAAGCATTACATTAAAGTAGTTAAAAAGGTTTCCATGCAGGTTTGTAGATATGTGTATATATTGTTTATTTGCAAGTGGTGTATATTCTGATATGTTGTGCTCTGGAGAATACTATTCCATGCATGCCTATGTAATATATATGTGTAGCATTATTATAAAAATGTACTTATTATTTCATTTGTAGAAACCAATGACACAGAACAGACATTGTATACTGCTGTTGCAGTTACTGGCTCTTCAACAATAAACAAACAACCAGATAAAAAAGTTAGTCGCCAGACTAACTTGACAAGTCTTTCTACCTCAGGTATGTGCAGTTGACTTTAAATCGTTTTCTGACATTGTACTTTATTTTTGTCTAAATAATTATTTAAACAACCAAATCATGCTTGAAATGATTTAAAATTAATTTTGTAATTTTGACACAATGTTTTACTAACGTCATCAAAGTTTGTACCCCTCCCCCTTTTTACCACCAAAAAAAAAGTAATTGCCAAATTTGAGAAAACTAAAGTCTCACAAAAAAATACAAAAAGTTAGTGTGATTTTCAATCTTAAGACAACTCATTTAGCTGAAGAGATTTCTGTAAAATCAAGCATTTTTGCAGAATTTGCAAAATTTGCAAAATAAGTTGACTCCTTATACTGTAATCAATTAATATCTTTTAGTTAAATCAAGCCATCCATGTTAACTAAAGGTAAATCTGATTTGTTTGTCTTCATTAGGAATTATTAAATGGTCCATGAACACAGTTATCGTTGTTAGATTTTCGTTGTCCACAAATATAGTCCCTAGTGTGGACAGTGTGTTACTTGCCAATTTTTTTATACCCCTTCCAAATTTATTTCTTCATGTTTTATGCCTCAAATAGCAAGTAGTGGGATAAAATTACACTGCAAAAAAAATTGGGTCATGAATTTTAAAGTAGTGATTTGGTCCAGCTGAAAAAGGTTAAAAATTAGCATTTCAGAAGCTGTCAAAAGATTTCAATACCCCCATAACATAAAATTGTCCATATTTTGAGTTAGAACTTATGAATTTTTCTATAATTTTGATATTTGTCCCAAAAGTAGTACAACACACTGTAAAAATATTATTGAGAAAGCGCAGGTGGGATTTTTTAAAGGAGAAGGGGCTCTAAGGGGCAAAATTGGCCCCACTTCCAAATCTATTGATATTTCTTTCAATTGATATCTACGATATGGAGCTTATAAAACACCAAGGATTTAATAGTTATCTTTTGTCGTTTTCTTGTTATGACGTCATAAAATGGTATGCCGACTAAGCTAAAATATCAGCTTTTTACATATTTTATCCTTTTTTTATGTATTGTGTACTTTTAACAATACATTAAACCTTAAATAATCAACGTGAATACATTATTACTAGTGTAACATTGTATTAATACAATGAAGAACAAAATTGATATAAAGTTTAACTATTTAATATCAGTAATATAGTTGCTATGGTAACAACAAAGTTAAAATTTTGTTCTATGTATGACTGAATTACAGAATTTTTTTCACAAGAGAGAATCAACAAGTATTGTTTGTGTATTCTTTTACCTTGAATTACCAAATAAGTATTATGTGTACTTTTATGTAGTCTTGATAAAAGCACAAAGAAGGTATAACATTTAAATCGTACAGTACTAGTATAGAGATAATATATGAATAAAGTTCGCAATTTCATAAACTATACATTTCAACAATTTCTCAACCTTCTTAAAACTGAAATATTCTTAGCACGTTTATCTTTATAAACTTTTCACATGTTCTTCATATCAAATTAAAAAATATAATGTGCATCCCCCACCTCACCCCCACCCCATTTTTTTATTACCCCAACCTTCCTTTTTTAAATATTGCCAAGGTTACAAGTGCTCCATCAGGAGATAGTATATCAGATCAACAAAACTGTTGATTAAGAAACTCGTCTTACTAGACTATGATTATGATTTTTTTAAACAACAGTTATCACAAATTCAGGTATTATGTTATCAATAATAATTATGCCAGTTTGGTGTAACAATTCAGTGTTCGAATTTACCAATTTAACTAACTGCAATAAATGTCTTCCCTTCTATATTCGCCATCTTCAGATACACATGAAACTTGAATTAAAATCATTTCAATTGTTGTTTAAGATTTTCCATACTGAAATTAAGCATGATTGAATATTAAATATAATGAAAAAACTTCTTAAGTATCACCATTAAAAAATTTAGAAAAAATCTCAGTCAAGCCATCATATTTGACATTTGTTTTTTGCTTAAGAAATGTTAAAAGAAATACATGTATATATCAGGCAAAAACACTTTAACTGCTGTTTTTTTTCTATAAAATTGACAGTTGTTGCTAATATTCCACATAGTGGTACCCTGATATCGACGTACGTCAGTTTCATTTCCAACAATGACATACAAAACAAAATTGACATTATACGATATGCCCTATATGGCCAAGTAATTGTTCAGTATAGAATACAAATGTTTAATGTTTACTCCTCGGGTTCACTGTCACTATCATCAATGACTTCCGGCTGATTAGCATCATTTGATACTCGTTCCATGAGCTCATTTTTCTTCTTTGACCTAAGAGAAGGTCTTCAGTTGCATTACTAGAATTAAGTGGTGGTCTATACTTATTACATATGGCACTGACAAAACGTGTATATTCACCAGCATACGGTATAAGGGAATTGGGTAATACTTTGTCAAGCAATCGCCACTGCTTGATTCTACCATTAACGGACTCAACAACCCAGCGGACCTTTGTTACTAGACGTGTTGTGTTACCATCTGCAACCGAAAGTTGCTTCTCGTTACGTTTGAGAAAGCTTGGCATTTTAATTTGAATACCAAATTCTTCTAAGAGGTCGACATCCCCGATCAACCACAACAACATCATTTTTTTCAAACCATTCCTTAATTTTCTCCAAGTTATTTTTAAAAATTGAGTTCAAAATTTTGGAATCATTGATTTTGCTGTTACAAAGGTAGGGTCCAATCACACTTACAATGTATCCAGTAGTAGTTACAAACATCATTGGCTTAATCAGGTTGCGATATTTGTGCATGCTATATGTACTACGTTGAAATTTAAATTGTCCACTCTTTTGTATGTAAATATACGTACCATCAATTACGAGTATAGCAGTTGTGTTTGTGATATCACCAAATAGTGTTTGTGCCAGTAGACGAGTGTGGTTTTGTATAACACTTTTTCTTGATACATGATCAAAACCTAAATATTTTGGTGTAAAGTGCTGTTTAACTGCATCTCTTGCGGATGATATAGCTTTCCTGATAGAATCTTTGCTTATATTAAACAAAGTTGCTAATATCTTATTAGACATCCCTGGACGAAGTTTGGTAAAAAATATACCAATGCATGTGCTCATGCTTCGTACTCGAGTATCTCTTATAGCTGAGTTTGGAATGTGAGAACATAAGTCTTCAAAATCAGTTATTGTTAAGCCAGTCAAATTTCGAAAATCTGTGTCATTTAAAGAAGAAGATTTATCAAAGTCAATTCTAGCGTTTTTATTTTTTTAAAGCATGTTCTCTAATTGTATCGATCAATTCAAGTAGTCCGCTGCGATTGAAGTCAGAAACAGTATACACACTTGTTATGTCTTTGTTAGCTTCTTTTGTAAAACCTTCAGTACATAAATGACGAGGACAGCACCGTGATCCGGCAGGAATAATTATATTCTTTTCCAAAAATGTGTTAAATCGTGCTTCTTGGGGAACAACCATAAGTTTTGGACCACGCTTTTTGCAAAGACAACATTGTGCATGACCTTTAATTGTTGAAGAAATAGAAAGCGATATTGACAAAGGAGAACTTAAGGTCTTTTAGGTGCGCATGGTGGCATAAAATCAGGATCATTTGTATTTGTATCAGTTGTAAGAACAGTTGGTGTATTTACTTGTGCTTGCTCTTCTCTGTAGTATTTCCGTCGACAAGTATCACATATTACGTCATCATCATTAGGTAAAACAAGGAAACTCTTACTGAGAAAATTGCGCAGATTTTTATTTGCTTCTCCACACAAAGGTCTTCTTTTTCCGGGTTTTGTTCTTTTTTCACACAATGTACATTTAAAATCTTTTCGTCCCTTTCTTATGTTGTCCATTCTGAAAAAAAAACATAAGAGGATACAATTAATATTTGGTACGTTAATGAATTCAATTGCAAAATCTATTCAACTCCTTAACAATTTCATTGCAATCTGTTTTTGTTAAATATATATGTGTTAACTGTATTGCAAAATCTAACGTTAGCCTGTGCTAAAAGAATATTGGTGAAATAACATGATTAAATTTAATAATTATTATTGTAAAGAAGAGAATAGAAATAACCGTTTATGAATATAGGCGGAATACATTTTACAATGTGTTGTGCAGAATAGTCATATTAAATGGGGAGGCGAATAAATAAGACAGCAAACCAACTACAGAGAATACCAGAACATTTTCGACATAAGACAAGCCCGGCACTGTAATGACTGTTCAACATAAATTGCTTTTTTAAGTAACAGTCATGTTGAGGTTTTATGTTTGATGTTTGTTATTCACATCACACAAAATTTAGATCAAATATAATAAATTCCTTTGAAGATGAAACATGCCAGTGCATCACATGAAATTTTCATAAGATTTTCCATAGTAGAAATAACATTCTAAGTTGTCAAATTCATTGATGTATTTGGTTATATGAATAAAATGATAAATATGAGATTTTGATTTATAAACGGACGGAACAATATTATTTCGTTTTCATTTCTTTACTACTTATTTACGATTCAACTAAATTTTTTATATCATTGATATGGCCATTTAATAATTGTTGATTATGTCATGGTCTAAATTGTTTTTGTTTTACCAAACAGACGTGCAAAATGAAAATGAAGTTTTCGTCTGCTGTGCCATGGAATTTTATACGTGTTTTGTAATCTGTGTTCCCTGTGTCCGTTTTAAATACTTAATTTTGAATAACTTTGAAGCAATTAATAGAAAATAAATCATAGAATTAAAATTTTGCTTTTTATTTCGATTTTTCTTAGAGATAATAATATGAAAAGATGGAAGAACTTTTTACATGACATGTTCATGGTGTAGTTTATGCATAACTTACCTTTCACGGAGTACGAATTCCACCATTTTCAAAAATATGATCACATCTTTTAAATTATATTAAGTTCTTTCAATTCTGTCTGGTAATATTAAGTATTTAACGAATGATACGCTGATTTCTATTCCGCTATAAAAAGCTTCTTAACAACAGCACTAGTAAAATTCCGTGCGTCAGTTCCGTAATTGCTTACAACAAATATACTCAAGGGCTAGGCTATGCTTGAGAGGCTATGTTATACCAAAAAAATGAAGACAAACACTTTGTTATTTACTATCTATAGCCAAACTTTATTGTAATCAATCATTGACAAAAAATTCTGTTAAAAAAATACATCTGTTCCTGGTCAACTCTTAGTCTGACAAAATTTGCGTACCGGTATATATGAAAAACGGACGATAATTTTAGATTTTTGATGCCGGTTTGAGCAAGTTTTTAATTGAAATTCAGTATGAGCGCAACTTTGCCCCATGAAAATATTTCAACATAAGATGCTTTTTGTTGATATTATTGCTCTGACAAAATATTTTGTTGGGGCAAGAATGCGCTGGTACTTTTTTCGTAAAAAAACTTAGTGAAAATGACTAAAAAATTGCGAAATCCAGCAAATATGCATGTGAAGTGATGTCAAAACACGGCATTGTGACGTCATAACTACATTTTTTTCATAAAATGAATATGTCCAACGCAAAAAGAAAGCCATACACATACGAATAAGTAGAATTGAGGCCGATATTAGCCATTATAGCCCCTTCTCCTTTTCATTTATTGTCTAAAAGAAATGCACTATGAAATAACTCTGTTTTCAGGCCAAATGCAAAAGTCAAAAATGTATGTTTTAAGTCTGCAGTAATTTCAAATTTCCGCTTTAAATATTCAAGTTTTCTACAATAAACCCATGTTATTTTGAAACTGCTATATATGGTAAGATGTGTTGCATTATATGTGTTGTTAACATTGATTTTAGTCATTACTATTTTGATTGATTATACTTATTGGTAAGCTGGAGCAGTACTTAATATGAATATGAAGTAAGTATCAATCAATCAAAAAATAGCCATTTTAATGTATATGCTATATTATTTTGTTTCTGTCATGCAACTCATTCTTGAAAATTTTTTGGCAAACAGATATACATTTTGCACTTTCCTTTTATTTATAGAATAAAATGCATTTTTTTTTATATTGCAGATTTAATATTGGAGGTTGAAAGGGAACAATTAGAACTGGAAAGAGAAAAGTTGGTTATAGAAAAAGAAAAGATTTCTTTTAAAAAGGAAAAGTTGAAAATGCTGAAAGATGCCATGCAAATTAAAAAAAGGACTCTTCAATTGTTAGAAGAATATGTGGACTTTAAGAAATTAAAATTTACACATGATTCAGATGTTTGTGACCTTTCGCCAATTATTAAGTTTTAATATTTTTCATCAGCAAAATATATGTATGACTAAAATCTATTGTGGGTCAGATCTATCACAGATTTCTAATCTATGATAAATATAACGTCAATGCAGTCCAATCTATGGCAGATTTTTTAGAATCTTAATCTTTTGCATTTTTTTAGTTTTCCAATCTATGGCAATTTGTTAGTTTCATAATCTATGACATAACCATTTGTGAAAATAAATAGCCTTTAGGCATGAAATAATTTGACCCGGAAGAATAAGCATTTCTTACTCATGGTGCATGGTACCTGTTTGACCCGTCTATTAACCAAGTACCTAAACAACATGAAACGCAGGAATTTGCCATATATCTGGAACCAACCATAGATTTGAGTCATACATATATGATATGATATAGCGTTAAATTTTATGCTCTGTTTAAAATTCATTTTTATGTTGAAATTATTATCCACCAAAATTTACCATTAGTTCAAATATGAATATGTATACTTCTCAAATACATTTTCAAATGTGAATATTTTCTTACTTTCTCTCTTTAGCATAAATAAAGATTGCCAAATGTATCATTTTTAAGACATGAAAAAGTTTCCTCATTAATCTATCAGGTATCAACTCTGTTATTGATTTATAATTGTGGAGCATAAGATTTATCCTTATATTAAATTTTGAATGAAAGTGATATCACCACTAACCTTTATTATGTTTATAAACAATTAATATATTAAAAATTTATAAATTGAATCAATTCTGTTTCACCAAAATAGAGCATTACATTCTTATTATTTCAAATTAACTTTATACAGATAAAAAGGATAAGGAAATAATAAAGATAAATACCACTACATTGATCTATAAGTTTTCATAGGATGTTGTCTCCAATCATTAAAATGATAAATGACAAATAAACCAAAAATATGAAAGCTGAAAAACAATTTTAAATTGACAAAGTTGATATTGAAACTTTAGAAAATGAAACGCAGTTTTGTCAAATGATAGCAAAATTTTTAAAAAGATTTTATATAATGTTACTGAAAAACCACATTTTCATTCAAATTTGTTAATTGTGAATTATTGAGTGCATGCAATGAAACATAATGGTAAAAATTGACATTTCTGTTATAAAAAAATATTTGAAAAATGTTATAAATATATATTTTTGGGGAAAAACAGAAACATTTATCTGTACATCAAAAAACTTTTTTTTTAAATTTTCATATAGGCATTAGTAGAAATATTTAATTAAAATTTCAGAATTCGCTAAATAATTTGTCAGCTAAGACCTATATCACACCTTGTCTTTTCAGGTCCAGTAATATACAAAACTATATCAAATGTAAAATTAGGATTCCCAGTGTTCAAATTCAGTTAAAAAAAAGTAACCTTTTTCAGTTTTATACAGTACGTTTATATAATAATTTAATGATTTATCTGTTTGATTTTCCAAAATATTAAGTTTTTTAGGCAAATCTTTGAATAATGCGTTCTCTAAGGGTTTGAACATTAGCAGGTGCAATATCTCTAACAATATGGTTATCTCCATTGTCAATAAATTCATCTGTTAAATCTGGAAGTGGCAGTTTATCATCAATACACTTCTTGTTTAATTTAAAAACAGCTGTCACAACTATTGCAGATCTTTCAGGTGTAAATGGTAAACATCCTCCAGTTTTATGCAAACACCTGTAATAAAAAAATATCAATATTTTTTACATTGGAAATTGTTGTGTACAAATATCAACTGACAATACTTCAGTGTATTTTGCACATAAAAAGATGAAAATTGTATGAATGTCAATGAGACAACTCTACATCCAAGACACAATGTAGTTATATTAAGCAATTACAGGTATTACAATACAACTACCTCAATAAGGAGCCTTGGTGCACACCGAACAGAAAGCTATGGAGGGCCTCAAAATGACCAGTGTGTATATGTTTTCTTTAATTAATATATTCAACCTAAAATAGTAGAGGGGCATTATGTTTTCTGGTCTGCGTCCAACCATCAGCAGATCAGGTTAAATTTTTTGGTCAGGTAGTTTGATGAAGATGAATTCACATCAACTTGATACTTAGTACACATTTTCCGTTCCTTTTGATAGGGTCTTTCTAAATTGTAAGCTAAATCATTTTAGCTTTTTTTTACCCCAATGTTACAGTTCATTGAACTTGGAAATATGATAGTGTTAAAACAGTACATTTTCAGGTAAATGTTTTTGGTCAGGTAGTTTATGATGATGTAAAATTCACATTTAACAGTAACTTAGTACATATGTTCCTTATAATAAGGTCTTTCTAAATTTGTTTAATGTTTATTTAAAATACATGCAACATATATTGACAAAATGTCTAAAATTGTGATTCCTTTATTTAAAAAATAACTATTCTTTTTAAATACCTATATCGTGACTTGCACTCACCAAAAGCCTGCTCCACTATGGTTCGTGTCTTGGCATGAGCCTTGTTGTATTTCTCCTCTGCAGGAGAGCTTGGATTCAATTTTGGTGTTAGTAGATAACCCTTAAGTGCGTAACCCGAATCCCCAAGCAGCCATCCATCTACTTGGGTTTCTTCAAAGAAGTAACCCAACTCAGAATTACAAAACATGAATGAATCATGCACACTCCCGGGAAATTTGGCAACAAGATTGGTAAATCTAAAAAATAAAATTCTGCTGATAGAATAAAAAAATGTAGCGCCCCATCCTCTCCTCTTCAAAAATTTCACATTTTATACCCCCCAAAAATCAAAGTTTTTTGGGTGGGTATATAGGAATCACCCTGTCCGTCTGTCTGTCTGTCTGTCTGTCTGGTAAGCACAACTCCTCCTTAAGGGATGGACGAAACTTTAATCAGTTGTAGTGCACAACCTGAGGATGTGCTTGAAGGAAGATATTTCTGGTCGGAATTATTTCAAGGGAGATAATTGAATATACTTAATTTTAATATAGCAATAAATGGCAACAGGTCTTGTAAGCGCAACTACTCCTTAACAGATCAATCAATATTGATGAAACTTTATACAGTATGAGTACCAATGAGACAAAACTAACTTGATTTCTAAATGTTCCAAGGCTGATCACTACCTTTTTTGATACACAAAATATAGTGCATTGATCATAACATTCTATACATACTATCCAGAAATTTATCGATATAATATATGCACAGATATTCAAGGCACAAAATGATGTTTCACCTGCCAAGAAAATTACATAACTTTTGCAAGGTGCAGGAATCTAAAATCTGTTCTAAAAATATAAATTATGTCATTGTTAAACCTCATCTTTAATAAAATTGGAGTCATCTTCCTTTGTCTAGAATAGCTGTTAAATTAACAACAACCAATGCAATATTTAATTTTACTTCCCACTTATGAATTGAAGCAATCTTTACCGTTCAGTGCTTTCAAGCACTTTGATTAAGTTTACCACTTACATTACATTTGATGACATAGGTATTGACAATACTTGTTAAAAGACTTTTATTCAAGCCTGTAAAAGGGTTGCCATAAGGGGCATCTGTGTTTAATGTTAGATTTGTTTTGATGCAGCTATATATGTAGTGATGCAGATCCAACCACAGAACTGGTGTTGTTTGAAAAAGACTAAATATAGTTTAATTGCTATTACATGTACGTCTAACACAACGACATGTATATTAGCAACATTTGTTCATTGTACGGATTTGACATTGCAGTAAAGAAAGTTTTAAAAAACAAGATAGATAACGAATGAAAGTAAAACCATATGTGAGCCCCACTTCCTGATTGATGTACGCAATAACCAAAAAAGCAAATGTCAGACAAAAAAATATCCAGAAAGTTGTAAATATAAGACTATTTGTGTTTCTGTTTTCACTTACCTCATCTCGTGATCCACAACTGCTTGGATGTTTAGGGAATGATACCCCTTACGGCAAACATATACTGGCTCATTTTCCTTTGGAGCAATAATCGGGATCAGCGTCCCATCCACAGCACCAATGACATTTGGGACCTTTGCTATATTGTAAAAACCCTTTTTGATTTTACTTAATTCTGCTTTCGTTGTTGGAAATTTAATATTGTCAATATCACGGACTATGGCGTGAGAAACCCTCATGACACATCTTGACACGCTGGCTCGAGAAATTCCATGAAGATCTCCAACTTCAGAATAAAAGTCCCCCTTGGCATAGTATCGAAGAGAAACTAACTCCTGAAAGAATATTGAAAAATAATGTTAGATAGAATTTACAATAGCATTCAAATAAGCCACAACTTAATACAATTCTGCTTTTTTTAGTCATATCATATGAAATATAAGATTGATTTATCATACAGAAATGTCACGGTTTTTGTCTCGCCTTGACAGAGTCAAAAAGCGAGACATAGGTATGCTGTTTCCGGCGACGGCGGCGTCAACAATGTATTAGTTTGTGATTAGGTCTAGTTCATGGTGAACCACTAGTGGTAGGTCAATGATATTTGGTATGCAGTTGTATTAGCATTGGCACATCTCAATATCATAGAGATTATTTGGCCCCGCCCCCTCAGTCAAGGTCTATTGACTTTGAAACTTTTCATAGTTTACATGTATAAGTTTGTGATTAGGTCAATTTATGGGGAACCACTAGTAGTAGGTCAATGATATTTGGTATGCAGTTGTATAAGCATTGGGATATCTCATTTCCATGGAGATTATTTGGCTCCACCCCCTGAGTCATGGTCTATAGATTTTGAAAATTTTGCTAAGTTAACATGTATTAGTTTGTGATTAGGTCAGTTCAAGGGGAACCATTAGTGGTAGGCCAATGTTAATTGGTGTTCAGTTGTATATAAGCATTAGCACATCTCATTTCCATGGAGAATATTTGGCCCCGCCCCCTCAGTCATGGTCTATTTACTTTGAAACTTTTGCTTAGTTTACATGTATTAGTTTGTGATTAGATCAGTTTAAAATGAACTGCTAATTTTAAGTCAATGATATTTGGTATGCAAATTTATTGGCATTTGCAAGGATCGTTTCCATGGAGATTATATAGCCCCACCCCTGATCATGGTTCATTGACTTTGAAAATTTTACATAGTTTACAAGTTAATGTTTGTGTTTAGGTTTGTTTAAAGGGAACGACTTATAATAAGTCAATGGTATTTGGTATGCAGTTGTATTAGCATTGGCACATCTCATTCCATGGAGATTGTTTAGCCATGTACCTTCAGTCATGGTTCATCGACTTTGAATATTTGCATAACTTACATGTTAAAGTATTGCTATTTTAATTTCAACATTTGCATTATCAAAATTACAAAAAGGCGAGACATATCTCTGTGATGACACTTTATCTTGATACATTTAAGCAGTCCGACTCTAAAACTTCTTTAATGTGCTTACTCAGTCTAAAAGGTTTGATTTAATCATGACCCTATTTCTATAGTTCAGTGGTCAACGTTTATTTTGGTTTATAATTTAATCCATTTTTGTATCGCATTGACAGAGTCAAAATGCTAGACTTGGGTATGCTGTTTAAGAAGGCGAAATCGGCACCAGTAAGATGATACATATTGTTATTTGAAGAAAATGAATCTTTTTTTCGATCTAAGATGGTTAAAAAGAAGCACCTCAAAGGTCTTATAACCAATTCATCAATGCAAAACTATTCAATGATGGTTGGACTGTCGGTCGACTCGTTCGTAGGTGCATGCGGGTCCATCGGACACAAACAAATAACTATGCATATCAATCAATATTCGTGGTAAGATTGTTGTTCCAATTCCATATACTAGTGAGCGCCTTGATCTCTTTTGATTAGGGTAAATCATGGTTAATTGAATGCATAATTAAGAAACTTATTTTTGTGAGACAAAATTTACTACAAAAGTTCGCTAAATGGTCCGTTAAAATTTCGTTGTCCTGACTGTTCCTTCGAGTATAAAGATACTAAGCTCTGGTATACGAGATCCGAGGGTGGCTTATGGCCCCCAGCAGGTCCAGGACAGCGCCCGGGGAAGTCTGGGGGTGAAGCCTCAGATATTTAGCAAACAGAGAGGGTAATTTTGAAGTTGAAGTATGCACAGCTGAGTGTTTTGCTATATATCAAATCAAAGACCTGAAACTGACTAAAAAAATCTAAAAACTTTGCAATGCTCGCCAATTTATTATGCTTCAGAGAAAGAAAGGGCTAGAGAACTGGATCATCTCATGATATATATGTTAACATACGAAAACAAAGCAATTAAAACAATCAATTTTTAATTTGGTGACATATGAATGTGACGTTCGTAAGTAAGACTGAAGTTAACAACCGAGGTCCTTTAGGAGAGTAACATTTTCCTTTGCCTGGCATTGTTAAACGTGTCAACAACTTCTTTAGTGTCAATGTCAAAATTAAAATGAACGTGCAGCAGTGCAAGTGCATGAAGAAAGTCTTTCTCGTCCCATGGTCGATCTCAGATACGTTTTTACGCGTTTCAGAGCGCTGAAAGAGCGTTCTGCAGTAGCGGATGAGGGTGGCATGGTGAGAAGTATTTGCAGAATACAGAATATATTTGGGTCAAGTTCTTTCCGCGTCATCTCCAATGTTGCACAGAGTTGGTCTGGTTTCTTAGATGGATAAATATCCCATCGCGCAACCCATCTTTTAATTTCGAGAAGAAACTGCCATTTTGTTTGTGCACGCAAGTGCGTCGTTGCGTCAATGGTAGCTACGCCACTGTTATACTATAAGCAGTAGTCAGTTGATCAGTTTTTCGTGGTTTGTTCAGTGTTTAGATGCTATGTTAAACAAAAGACCAACTATATAATATGTTTTAAAAGTTCATTGTCATCTGAGGGGTCATACATTATGATGTACATGTCAGTCTCGCAGGTTTTATTTGACCTTGACCTCATTTTCATGGTTCATTTCTCAGTGTTAACTTTTTGTGTTTTGGTCTGTTTTTCTTCAACTATAAGCAAAATATCAATAGATATAAGAAGATGTGGTATGAGTGCCAATGAGACAACTCTCCATCCAAGTAAAAATTTATAAAAGTAAACCATTATAGGTCACAGTACGGTCTTCAACACGGAGCCTTGGCTCACACCGAACAGTAAGCTATAAAGGGCCCCAAAAAATTACTAGTGTAAAACCATTCAAACGGGAAAACCAATGGTCTAATCTATATAAAAAACGAGAAACGAGAAACACTTATGAACCACATCAACAAACGACAACTACTGAACATCAGAACTATATTTGTTGTATGTAAGGATTGTAAGGTGTATATGTCTGTCTGGCACTGGTGGATCTCTACTGGAGGTTCGGGAGGTGGTGGTCGGTTATTTACTAAGCGTCCTTCGACGAAAAGTTTGTCATTCAGAAGTCTCGCGCGTCTGCCTGCCATGTCTTTTAGCATCATTTAATCTGGGTAGTAATGGTTTGCGCCTCTCCGAAATCTGCATAGGTTATTGTTGATATACAGAGTAGTTGGCATTGTCTTAAGTTAAGTTTTTCAATAGCTGCACGTCGGACCTTCTCATGATCAGTATAGCTTGTGAATCTTGCAATTATATTCCGAGGTTTACCCTTCGTTCTCTGTTTTAAGCGGTGTACATTTTTGGAAAGACATTCACGGTAGTAGTATTAATGAAATGAATTGTTTAACAACATCCTTTGTATTCTCATCCCTCCAGCTACTAGGCTTTTGGATTCGGTTGACTGTGTTACAATTAAGTATACATAAGAATATACATGTATATATATATGAATGATTTCTCGCTAAAATCCTGCTTTTAATTTTGAATGTCTATAAAATTTCCTGTTAGATGTTTTGCGGTAGTTTCCATGTAGTGCAGCCGGAAGGAACAATAAAAATTCCCATTGTTTCTCCCGACTGCACTCCCCGACTTTGGAAAATTATTGGCGTACGGATAAAGTATTTAAGATAATTGGCTAATAAGAATTAAATATAGTCCCTAAATTGTCCTCCCGGTAGGCTATTATAGCAAAGAAACATAGAACAAGGCATGTGCTAGTTAAATACTGTACCAATGCGAGGACGTCTCCAACGATTGATGTAGCAGATAAAGAATCCTTTAAAGGATTGAGATTTTGTAGCCGTTCCTTTTCCATAACGGTCGCGTATATCATTCCGAATAACATTCCAAAGACATACTGGTATTTAATGATTCCTCCGTCCCTGACGAGGAAAACCCACTTCTGTACATGTCATTGAATGGGAAATCACCCCTACTACACCTTTAGGCGCCTATTTAGCTATATATACATGAATTATATATAAAAGGAAAAAATAGAAAAATATGAAAAAATATTAATAATTATTGTTTGATTTTGTTTTAAGTACAGAAATTGTCAGCGAAACGTCGCGTATATCATTCCGAATAACATTCCAAAGACATACTGGTATATAATGATTCCTCCGTCCCTGACGAGAAAAACCCACTTCTGTACGTGTCATTGAATGGGAAATCACCCCTACCTACACCTTTAGGCGCCTATTTAGCTATATATACATGTAATATATATAAGAGGAAAACATAGAAAAATATGAAAAAATATTAATAATATTATTGTTTGATTTTGTTTTAAGTACAGAAATTATCAGCGAAGCAATAGTGCAGGGTTGTGCATGGTTTTACACCAGTAATTTTTGGGGCCCTTTATAGCTTGCTGTTCGGTGTGAGCCAAGGCTCCGTGCAATCTAATTAAAATATAAGATCTCGGACTTCGTTATACTACGTTATACTACAAATGTACAAACGATCTAATTAAAATAGTATAACGAAATCCGAGATCTATATTTTAATTAGATTGGGCTCCGTGTCGAAGACCGTACTTTGACCTATAATGGTTTACTTTTATAAATTTTTACTTGGATGGAGAGTTGTCTCATTGGCACTCATACCACATCTTCTTATATCTATATAATACAATATTCTGTGCGTGTTTGTCTAACTGACAATATCCTCTAGTACAGATTATAGTGACACCGTTATAGCCTGAAAGGATTTAGCACCTGCTTCTGTTCTAAAATATATGAGCTTAATGTGTTTTTAATTTGTTTTTATTATTATTTTCTAATAGTATGACTGTAATTGTCAAGTTTGTGAAAAACTGAGAGTGATATTGTATTTTATTTTGTTC